CACTTATTTTGTGAGTACCCACCGAATACCATACAGGTCCTGGGAATCAAATTTAGGTTGTCAGCCTTGAGCCATCTCTTCTGCTACTTCTCTGGTTTCTTTCTTTTTTTTTTTTTTTTTAAAAAAGTTATTTTTAGTTTATGTGTATGAGTGTATTGCCAGCATGTAAGTGCAGCCATATCGTGCAATGCTCTCAGAGGTCAGAAGGTGGCCTCGGATCCCCTGGAACTGGAGTTACAGACGGTTGTTAGATGCCATGTGGGTGCTGGGCATCGAACCCAGGTCCTCTGCAAGAGCAGCCAGTGCTCTTAACTGCTGAGCCATCTCTCCTACACATTTCTCTGGTTTAGTTCTAGAGAAGGCACATATACCTAAGCCATAACGGGGCGGTAGCACACACTGTAATCTCTGCACTAGTGAGGCTGAGGCAGTAGATAAAACCTGTCTTAATAAAGCAAAAAGAGACCCCCAACTCAATTTACAGTTCAGTATTCTATTTTTATCTGGGCTAAAACTTGATACTCCTTCACCAATTCTATCATGTTTCTTTGCTTATGTTTTTGAGTAGGGGTTCTTAGGACTGAACCCAGGACCTTGCATATAACACTACCCACACATTCTACCATCCCTAAGAACACTTGTTTTTAGGAATCCTCTGGGTTACTTCTAACTGCTAGATGTCCAAGCTGCAGGGTAATCATTTCCTTAGGCAAACACTTCAGGCCTTTAATATGGTATTTCCTGGGGCTGGAATGTCAACAGGAAGTCCTGTGGATAAAAGCTCTGCCAAAACATTCATTCTGAGAAAAGGACTAGTAAAGAAACAAATCTGCCCAGCATGTACAACATCCTGCAGCCTCCATGAGAGGCCCTTGCAGCTGACCTCACAGCTATAATGCTGTTCCTTTTCTCCCGGTTCATGAGCTTGCAAGACCGGCATATGACTATATAGGAATCCCGTACTAAGACTGGACAGGCAAAAATTTGCTTACAAGGCAGTCGGGCCATTTATTGGTATTAAGAAAGGATTTCTTTAAATGAGGGCGTGGACCCTGAGCATTCAAGTCTCACCCACTTTATGAAAAATTGGGCCCACATTCTCAAACTTACAGTCCTACTTCAAGGTCAGAGGGAAGCCGCAGTGTTCTTGCTTCTACACCACAAGGTTTAAGGCGCAAGAAGCTAACAATCCCTACCCAGTGCAGTACAAAATTTCTTCCCACTATCTCCAGTTATTTAATTATCCACTCTTCATCCCCAGCTCTGTGACCCCTAGTTGAGCAGCCAAGTTCTTAGGAATCCAGGAATGGCCGACAGGTTCTCGGGGTCAGCACTCAGTATCTTCAGCCATCAGCTCAGTCTCCCCCTCCGTAAAAGATGGCCGTGGCGAGCACACCCGTTAGGCATCCAGATCAAAGTCGTCGCGCTCCTCGTTGTACTCCAGTACGTGCCGTTTGATCTTGGATGAGTCGACCCAAGTGATAAAGTCCTCCATGCTGCGCGTGACAAGAAAGGCGGGATCCGTAACCAAGTCTGGGCCCACGCGGACGTGGCCCTGTTCCACGAAGGCCACGGCGGCCTGGAGGTGCTGCGCCATGCGAAGTTTGAGGAGCAAAGTAGGCAGGCGGCGGCGGCAGAAGGACGAGGCTGTGACAAAGTCGCAGAGCTCCAGCGAGCCCCGCGTAGGCACCAGGCCGAGTGCATACAGTTTGTCCAGCAGCGCGGCCGAGGCGCGCACGCGAAACGGGTCCGGTTCCGGCAGGTCGCGCAGGCGGCGGGCAACCTCGCGCACCGCGCGGCTCAGCTGGTTGTAGCGCGTGTACTCCTCGCGTCGCTGAAGCCCGTATCGCCGCAGCACGCGGAGCTCGTGCAGGTTGTGGTCGGTCACCTCCCAGTTCAGGAAGTCCACCTGCTTCAGCAGCTTCTGCTCATGGAACTTCAGCTTCCGCACCATGATGGAGGCAGCCGGAGAAAGCCAAAAAGTTCCGACCACAGCGTAACTTCCGCTTTCTCTAGCCAAGGCCCGGCCGCGGGGAAATCTGGGCCAATAAAAAGATGTAAGCCACGCCCCCTTTTTCATTGGCCCAAACGAGACACTTCCTGTGGGATGAAACCGCCCCGGGAAGTGGAAGGAGAAGGTCCTGAGGCGTTTTGTGGAGAGTGCGTGGTCTTCGGCACCAAGAATTTCCTCTCAGGTTTCTGCCCTCTGGGGACTCTCGAGAGAATCTGCACCTCAAGAGCTGAAGACATCAGTTTCTGGAGACAGGGCAACTGCCTTTGGGTTTACTATGCCGAGTGGCGTGGGTTCTACAGCCCCGCGGAAGCTTCTCGCGGAAGCTGACAGTTCCAGGAGCTGATGAGTAGTCCTAGTCACTGTCCACCAGCATTCTGGTCCGTCACTGGGCTGTGCAGCACCGAAACTATTACTTGCTGATCTCCTGGCTGCTTCCTAGATGCACGTAATAGGAATGCGGAGTGGCCTGGATATCTTTTACTTTTTTGAGACACTGTCTGCCTAGTTAGCCCAGGCTGGCCTCCATTGCCCAGAGTGCTGGTATTCCAGGCATGAGCCATCATGGTGGGCTTATTTTAGAGAGAGAAGTTTTGCGCTCCAGTGATCCTCCCGCCTCAGCCTAGCTGAGATGCAGTTTTGGCTAGCCTTGGCTTGTAAATTACATGAGTGTAGCACTAGGACGCTAATCCTATTTTGCTTAGGTCTGTGCCGCCACCTAGCTTCTTCGCTGATCACTTTGTTTTATTTTGTTTTTTATTGTATTTTTTTTTTTTTTTTTTTTGAGACGGTCTTCCTGTAGCTCCGGCTGGTCTGGAACTCACTTTGTAGACCAGGCTGGCCTTGAACTCAGAGATCTGCCTGCCTCTGCCTCTGCCTCCCAAGTGCTGGGACTAAAGGCATGTGCCACCACACCCAAATGATAAAGGTATTTTTTTAAGCAATGGTTTCATCATCATATGTGTATCTCTAGATGTACTGTAGATCTTTTTTATTTTTTATTTTTATTTTGTGCTAAGGATTGAGCCCAGAACCTTCATATGCTAGACAGATGCTTTACCACTGAGGTATACCTGAAGCCCTGTAAAACCATTTATTCAAAATGTAGTCTGTGGGTCAGCACAGAGCTTGTCGGAAACGTAAATCTTAGGCTCTATTCATGATTGTAAGATTTATTTTTGATTATTTGTGTATCTGTATGTAAGTATAACATGTGAGTGCAGACTCCCACAGAGGACAGAGGTTTAGGATCCACTGGAGTTGGCTTTACAGGCTGTTGGGAACTTCCCGACCTAGGTGCTGGGAATTGAACCTGGGTCTTCTAGGAGAGTAGCAAGCACTCTTAACCACTGAGCCATTTCTCCAGCCCATCCTGATTAAAGAATCAGAGTTTGCATTTTATCAAGTTCCTGAGATTATTTGAGTACATAGACATTTAAAAGAAATGCTCAGTAGATGACAACATTCTTTATGGAGTTTGTTTTACATAGCTATAATTGCCTTTACCCTGCTGTACAGTATTAATTTATTCATCCACTTTCCTATTGGATTCTTTTGTGATTGGTTCTGGATTTTTTTTTTGAGGGACTCTCTTTAGCAAGAATGCCCTTAGTATTCTTTATTCTTACATGTATCTCCTGTTGCACATATGCAATATTTTCCAGGATATATTGAAGTAGAATTGCTATTTAACCTTACTATGTACCAGTTTACCCTCCTTTGGCAGGCACCGGAGTTCCCTCTGTCCCTCATCTTCATGGATGCTTGATTGCTAATTTAAAAGGCTTTGAGAAGTCTCGCTCTGTAGGGTGCCCCCCCCCCCAAGACAGAGTCTCCCTCTAGCCGGAGCTGGCCTGGAACTCACTATGTGACCAGGCTGGCCTTGAACTCACAGAGATTTGCCTGACTCTGCCTCCCAAGTGCTGGGATTAAAGGTGTGGACCACCACACCCAGAGTGCCTGCCTGAATCTTACTCTATAGCCCAGACTGCCCTAAACTCAACAGCAGTTTTCCTGCCTCAAGTCTCCTGAGTGCTGGGAAATTTGTATTTTCTTAGTGAATAAGTTTCATATGTTTCCTCTCTTGTGAAATACCTCTTCATGTCTTTTGGTTATTTTTCTTTTGGAATAAATACAACAACGACCTCCCAAAGATGTCCACTTTGCCAGGCATGGTGGTGCACACATTTAATCCCAGCACTCAAGAGTCGGAGGTAGGTGAATCTCTGTGAGAATGAGGCCAGTCTGGGCTACATAGTTCCAGGCCAGCTGAGGCTACCAGGAGATCCTCTTGTCAAAAAAACAAGCAACTGGCAGGGGGTAGTGGCACACACCTTTAATCCCAGCACTAGGGAGGCAGAGGCAGGCGGATCTCTGTGAGTTCAAGTCCAGCCTGGTCTACATAGTTCCAGGACAGCTGGGGCTACAGGGAGACCCTGTCTCAAAAAGACCAAAATATAAATAAATAAATAAACATATCTCAGCTGGGCATGGTGGTGTAAGCCTTTAATCCCAGCACTCCAGAGACAGAGGCAAGCAGACCTCTGTGAAATGGAGGCCACCTGGGACAAAAAAAAAAAAGGGACTGAAGATGTTCTGTAATGAAGCACTTGCTGAGAGTGAGCAAGGCCCCAGATTCAATCCCCAGCACTGCAACAAAATGAAGGGGAAGTTTCTTGAGGTGGGGAGATTATTCTGATGGGTTCCCTGTAATCACAAGAGCACTGTAAGTAAAATAGGGACTCAGAAAGTCAACAGTGATGTGATGATGAGAACAGAAGTTTGAGTAATGTGATAACTGACTCTAAGGTGAAAGGACCAAGAGATGTGGCAGCCTTGGGGAAGCTGGAAAAGGCAAGGAAACAGACTGTTCTCTGGGGAAGGAACATAGACTATGGAGACCTTGATCTTAGTCTGGTGAGACCCACTTTAGATTTCTTGTTTCCAATTACAAAATGCTAAATTTGTATTTTTGGTCTTTTTGAGATAGAGTTGCCCTTGTAACCCCAGCTGTCCTGAAGCTATGTAGACCAGGTCCGCCTGCCTCTGCCTCCTGAGTATTGGGATTAAAGGCATGTGCCACCATGCCCTGCCCAAATTTGTATTTTTTTAAGTTAGTTATTTATGGGGAGGGGGGCACATGCCACAGGGAACATGAGGAGGTCAGAGGACAACTTCTGGGAGTTGACTCTCCCCTTCCGCTGTGTGGGTCCTGGGAATTGAATTTAGGTCCTTAGGCTTGGCAGCAAGTACCTTTTACCTGTTGTTCCATCTCACTAGCCCCACACTTTTATTTTATTTTATTTTATTTTTATGTGTGTGTAAATACACCTGGGTCCTGCGGTGCCCAAGGAGGTCAGAAAGGGGTGTTGGACGTCCTGGAACTGGAGTTATGAATGGTTGTTAGCTGCCATGGTGAGTGCTGGGGTTTGAACCCAGGTCTTCTGCAAGAACAGTCAGTGCTCTTAACTGCTGAGTTATCTCTCCAACCCTCACATATATTTTTAATTAATTTTTATTTGACAATTCCATAACATATAAATGTATTTTCATATTAAAATTTGAATTTAAAAATATTTTATTATTTTTTCCTCTTTTCAATATTTTTGAGATACAAAATACATGTTATTAATAACTTCACTTTATTTTTCAGTGTGTTATTTGTATTAGAAGGTGTGGATGTACATATTTGTTTTTTTGTCAGAACATGTACATTTCTCTGGAGACCTCTGGTGCCCACTCCCAATTTTTTTTTTTTTTTTTTTTTTTAGGCCCCATCTCTCACTGGGACCTAGAAATCAATTCAGCTAGGTTGACTGGATCAAAGCAGTCCAGGTAGAAGCTGTCTCACCTTCCTTGGTTCTGAGATTACAAATGTATACAACTATGAATAAATTTTTCTTTGGATGCTAGGGATTCAAAACAATATTTTATTATTTTTATTTTATGTGTATGGATGTATTGCTGCCTGTATGCAAATGCACCTGTGTTGTACAATGCCCGAGAAGGTCAGAAGAGGGTATCAGATTCCTTGGAACTGGAGGCATGAATGGTTGTTAGCCATCATATAGGTGCTGGGAATTGAACCCAGGTCCTCTACAAGAGCAGCTAGTGCTCTTAACCACTGAGCCATCTCTCCAGCCCTAAAATTTGAATTAAAAAAAAATTTTATGTATATGAATGCTTTGCCTGTATGTATGTAATGCACTGTATGTTCAATACTCATGGCAGCCAAAAGAGGGCATAGATACCCATTTTAAGTCTTCCACCAGCTTCATTCCAGTTTCCCATAAATTGGGACCAGAAATGACAGAATGTGAAGAACAGGTCATCCTAGCCCAAAAAGGGAATCCACCTCACACCTTATGGGGACAGAGACCCTCCAGAAAGCTGAGGTAAGAGCCAGAGAAATGGCTCAGTAGTTACAAGCACTTGTAGCACCTGGGTTGGCATGGTAACACACCTTTAATCTAGTACTATGGAGGGAGAGGCAGGCGAATCTCTTGTGAGTTTGAGGACAGCATGATCTATGTGTACACAGAGTTTAAGGACAGCCAGGGCTGCATAGACTCTATCTTCCCAAATTAAATCAATAAAATAAAAAATAAATAACTTGTTGCCAAGCCTGATGACCAGAGTTCGACCCCCAAAATGTACATTGTGGAAGAAGAGAACCAACTCTCACAAATTGTCCACTGACCTCCAACACACATTGTGGCATTTCCATGTGCATGCACACACAAAATAAGTAAAAGGTAATACAAATTTTTTAAAATTAAAAAAAAAATCATGCTGATTGCTGTGTTGGAAACAGACTGCAAAGGAAGCAAGAATAGAAACAGAAACCATATGAAGGCTGCTGCAGTGATCCAGGTGAAAGAAGGGACCAGAAAAGCAGTAGTCAGATTCTGGCATAAGGGGAATGAATGACAGGGGAATGGAGAAATGGCTCAGAGGCTAAGAGCACTGGCTGTTCTTGCAGAGGACCCAAGTTTAGTTCCTAGCACCCTCACAGAAGCTAACAGTCGTTCCTAACTCCAGTTCCAGGGGATCTGATGCCTTATAGCCTCTGCAGGCATTGCACACATGTGGTATACTTACATACATGAAGGCAAAATATTTGTATGCATAAATAGAAAATACAAATAAGGGGCTGGAGAGATGGCTCAGCAGTCAAGAACACTGGTTCTTGCAGAGGACCCAGTTTTGTTTCCCAGTATCCATACGGTGGATAACAACCACCTGTAACTCCAGTTCCAAGGGATGCAACTCCCTCTTCTGACCTCTGTAGGCATTGCATGCATGGTTGTACCTACATACATGCAGTCAAAACACTCATACACATAAAAATAAGTAAATTAAAAAGTAAAAGTAATAATCAATTTAAAGGGGGAATTGTAGAATGATGAGAAGAATCAAAGATAACATTTTATATCCTAACATATTGGGAGTGGGCAAGGTCAGAAATTCCATTTTGTAGATGATGGATTGGAAATGTCTATTAAAGGTCCAAGAGTGGGTAGGGTGTCAAGCTAGCTCAGCTGTTAAAGGCTCCTGGCATTAAGCCTGACAACCTGCGTTCAATGTCCAGAACCTCCATGATGGAGGAAGAGATGACTCCCATAAGGTGTTCTCTGACTCCCAGACATCCTGTGGATGCACACGTGCACACACACACACACACGCAAATAAATGTAAAATTTAAATTTTTAAAATTTATTTTATAGTATGAGTGTATTGCCTGCATGCATGTGAGTGCACCCATGTTGTGCAATGCCTCGGAGGTCAGAAGAGTGTGTCAGATTCCCCTGGAACTGGAGTTAAGGATGCTTCATATCTGCCATGTGGGTGCTGGCAATTGAACCCGGGTCCTCTGCAAGAGCAGTCAGTGCTCTTAACCACTGAGCCATCAGAGGTCAGAAGAGGGCTTTGGATTCCCCTGGAACTGGAGTTAAGGATGCTTCATAAATACCATTTGGGTGGTGGGAATTGAACGCAGGTCCTCTGCAAGAACAATCTGCTTTTAACTGCTGAGCCATCTCTCCAGCCCTGCAAATAAATGTGAAATTTAAAAAGTTCAAGGGGTACTGGGGAAATGACTCAGTAAAGCACTTGCTGGTAAGTGTGAGAACCTGAGTTCTGATCCCTAGAACCCTGGTAAATCTGTACATAATCCCAGTGCTCCTACTGTTGAGATGGGAGATAGACAAGAGATTTCCAGGAATCTTACAGGCCAGCTAGCCTGGGGGAAAACAACAAAGAGACTATTTTGAGGTAGAAGGCAAGGACCCACCCAAAGTTGTCCTCTGACCTCCACACATGTGCTGTGGCAGGTGTGTGTGCGTGTGCACACATACACACAATAAATGAATGTAATACAAAATTCAGTGTCACAATTCCCAAAAATAGGTGGAGGAAAGCTTCCTCAGATGTGGGAGGTGGGAGAGTTGCTGCAAATTGCAGACCAGCCTGGTCTACATATCAACTTCCAGGCCAGGTAGGGCTACATATATAACAAGACCCTTTTAAACAAATAAAACAGGGGCTGGAAATATGACTCAGTGGTTAAGAGCACTGGATGCTCTTGGAGAGCATGGGGGTTTGATTCTCAGCACCCACATGGTGGCTCACAATTGTAACTCCAGTTCCAGGGGAATAGGAAGCTCTCTTCTGACCTCCGTGGGCATTGCACAACACGGGTACACTTACGTACACACAGGCAATACAATTATACACATTAAAACACACATACACAAAAAAAACTAGCTGAGGCAGATATGGTGTCAAATACCTTTAATACAGCACAGATCTCTTGAGTTCAAGACCAGTCTGGACTACATTGTGAATTCCAAGTCTGCCAAGGGCTACAGAGTGAGATCCTGTCTAAAAACAAAACAAAAAAAAATCCAAAATCAAAAAAAACAATCAGTTGAGGTAAACATACAAATGAATCTTTTAGGGTCAAGGTTGCCAGAATGGCAAGAGGCAAGGTTTCCAGGTTGCTGTTGGGAGACTTGCCATATACCTCTTTCCCTCTGGGGGTTCCAGACCCATGGACTAGCTAGGTAACTGGGGTTTCCAAGGAGAAACCCAGTCTGTGCGAATTAATAACCAGGCTTCTAAGGTTTGTACATTTGTTTTGTTTTGGGTTTTTTTTTTTTTTTAAACAGAGTCATTTTAATCTTTTCGAGACAGGCTCTCCCTATAGCACCAGCTAGCCAGGCTGGCCTCAGTCTTACAGATATCCACCTGCCTCTGCCTCCTGAGTGCTGGGATTAAAGGTGTGCCTTTTTTTTAAACAGAGTCATTTTAATCTTTTCGAGACAGGCTCTCCCTATAGCACCAGCTAGCCAGGCTGGCCTCAGTCTTACAGATATCCACCTGCCTCTGCCTCCTGAGTGCTGGGATTAAAGGTGTGCC